TTCAGTCTTCTATTGGCATGGAAATCATGGGAAATGTACTTATCTAGTTGTTTATGTTGATGATATTGTCATAACTAGCAATGATCATGAAGGGATTTCTCAACTGAAGCAGCATTTATTCAGTACCTTTCAAACTAAAGATTTGGGAAAGCTAAAATATTTTCTTGGGATTGAGGTAGCACAGTCCGAGATTGGAGTTGCAATCTCACAAAGAAAGTATGCTCTTGATATACTAGAAAAAACAGGTATGATGGATTGTAAACCTGTGGATAGTCCTATGGATCCCAATCTAAAACTTATTCCAGCACAGGGTGAGCCATTTAAAGATCCTGGCAGATATCGGGTTGTAAATTAAACTATCCTCTTTACTATTACACGACTGGATATTTCTTTTGCCGTGAGCATTGTGTGTTAGTTCAGTTCTTTACAGTCTCCACTGTGATAGTTTCGATTGGGATGTTGTTCGTTCGCATTTCTGAGATATCATCAGACAGGAACGTCAATGGCCAAGGTTCTATTATATGACTTGAACAAGGCCGATGTTCATTCACAAGTTGGTTGGCTATTCAGAAGTGCAGGAGTGGGCAGGTTCTCCCTCACTGGACAAACGGTCTTAATCCACTTTGGTGTATCTGTATCATGATTGAGGGAAATTTTGATTCATGAAAAGTAAAAAGCGTAAAAAAAGCAGCCAGTTGTGGCTAGGTTAAGCGCAGAAGCAGAGTATTGAGCCATCGGCATCTAGCCAACTTGCTGATACTTTGTTTTGGTTCACAGTACTTCTTTCAAGAGTTGAAGTTGATGGAGAAATACATAAAACAGATTGACCACTAATATGTGACAATCAAGCAGCACTCCATTACTCTGGCCTTTCAAAAATCCAGATGTTTCATGAAAAACGATAAACATAATTGAGATGTCGGATTGTCATTTCATCAGACACAAAAGATTGGCAGCTTCAGGATGCATATCTACTTCCTTTGTTCAGTTCGACATGATCAAATGTTGCAGAAGTATACTGACAAATTCTTTCGGGAGGGACCTCGAATTGATACACTTTTTGTGGCAAGCTAGGGAAACATAAACATGTTATGCCCCGCTATCTGAAAGGGATGTTTATGATTTAGGCTGCTTATTTAGCTGTAATTAGCTGTATTAGTTTGAATTATGCTGAGATATAGGAGCTATTAATTAGAAGAATCATTAGCAGAATTATTTTTGGGATACTTGATTTAGTTAGCAGAATTCATTTTGGGGATCCTTTGGATTAGATTAGCAGTTATTTTGGGATCCATTTTGATTAGTTACCCTTATATTGTTACATACTGTAGTACTATTATACCCTCCCAATTCTTGAGGGCATAATCATGTCAAAATATTTCCTCTCATTCTTCTTTTTCTTCCAAAGCATACCACCATATGAGAGTATCTATAAACTCTAATAATTCAAGGGTTTCTCGGAGCGTCCTTCGTTCATCGATTTTTCAATGCGGAAAAGGTGGCCTTATTTTGTTTTTTGAGTTGAACAAATTGATCTCTTTTAGCATTCCAATCAGTTTTTCTTGATATATGTTTTAATTGTGAAGTAACATGTATGCTTGATTAGTTAGCAGATTATTTGGGATCCTTGATTAGTTACCTATATTGTACATATGTAGTACTATTTATATCCCCAATTCTTGAGGGAATAATCATGTCAATATTTCCTCTCATTCTTCTTCTTCAAAGATACCAACCATATGATTATCTATACCTAATAATCAATTTGGTTTTGGAGTTCGCATCGATTTTCAATGCGGAGGTGCTTATTTGTTTTTGAGTTGAAACATGATCACTTTTAGCATTCAATCAGTTCTTGATATATGTTTTAATTTTGAGTAACATGTATGTGGCGTTCATATAATTCCTGTATTATCAATTTAGTTTTGGTGCATTATGATAATTAAGCAAGTTTAGAATCTTTAATATGCTAGAGTTTTGGTGTTGTTTTCTTGAAGGCTTTTGTGTTCACATTATTTCTAGATAACCATTAGTGTTCATTATTATTTTTAAATAGCTTCTATTTGGAATTACTAATTTAAGAAGAAAAATAGCACTTTAATAATCCTTTTATAAACAATTCAGGCATGGTGTAGTTCTGTTGACTTTTGGTTTGAATGTTTTGGTTTGTCTTTAAAGGTTTCTATACTTCTTTGTTTTTCTTTAGTTTTTCAAGCTAATTCTTCCGCAGTACCACTGTTTTCTTTTGAATGTAGATTCCTTTTTTACCATACCGCCATTTTTGCAAACTTTTGACTGATAATATCAATCTCTGGCATACTTGATTTACGAGCTCTAGCTTCTTACCTGCATTTTCCCATTTAGAGTGAATGGTTCTAACAATTCAAAGCTGATGGTTATATAGGCCATGGGTTAATTTTAAAAGTAGAGTAGCTAATCAATCCCTAAACCATTTGATGAATGCGTTAACATATAGGCCCAACTATGCTTTGGGAAGAGGTTCTCTGTCCTTGTAATGAAATATTTGATATTTTGGTGCTATCATTTATAATCTCTTATTTCCTGAGAGTGCTAAAACATAATAAATGTAAAATTGGGATATGCATTAGTCGTCTGGACAACCTCTCAGGTGGAATTTTGAGACTTTGATACAAATCCTATAATGGTTCTTCTTTTCCTCTATGCTTGATGCCCTTATCCATCCTTGAATTAAAAAGATAACTCATGGGCAACTTCATTGAGAAATTTGGTGGTAACTTTATACAACTTCATTGAGAAATTTGGTTGTAACTTTATAAGTAGTCATTGGTTGTATAAAAGATATAGGAACAATACTATGCATCCTGAAGCTTATTATTTTATTAGTGACAGATTCAAGATAAAAACATAACCTCTATAAAACAGGCAGCAGATTTGAAGAAATAAAGGCCTCAAATTTGAGATATTGTTGGAGGGCATTATTGACAAGGCACGCCAAGTTTAGTATTTAAGTCAAGAAAACCAATAGTTCAGCATAGTTAATGCAGAAATATAATTTTTTAAAAATAAATTGTTATAGACATGGAATGATTGTCAAAGAAAATAAGAAAGTCAAGTGGATGGCAATTGCACACGGGCAAGAGAAGTGAAAATTTGAGTCTGAATGAAGTACAGTCAAGGATGGGACAAGAATTATATGCAATGCAGCTTGTGTCAAATTTTGAGTTTAAGCATATCCACCATTTTCAAGTTGTAGAAAACGTTTTCCTAGTAGTATCCTCTTTGTTTCTTGAATATCAAACTTTAATATATAAGCTTCAAGGTATTTTATGTTTCCACAAGCAAAATTACATGGGGAGATGATATTTTACTGTGATCATCACCTATTCTGTTTTTGGCTATTTAGGAAAATTTGTCCATGGAGCTTTAATGAAGTCTAAGTTGGTAAGACTTGAGATGTAGCTCTATCAGTTTTCAAGTTCCAAGAACTTTAGAGTTATGGTTCAGATTTTATGGATTTATTTGGGGCATTGTAATATATTTTCCAGTCTTTTTGGAGTATGTCTTATGTTTCTATTTAGATAAATTAGCAGCTGGTCAATTACTTTGAGTCTAAGGGGGCAATGTTGTAAATTTAAGTCTTATCTAGGAATCTTTGTTGGGTTGACTTAGAGGATGTGTACTAGTTTTGAAGTCCTTTTCTTAAAGGTGTAGCAGTTTAAGTCTATAAAAACCTAGGAATATAATATTTTCAATCCACTTTTGTTATTGAATAAAAACCAGCATATGCTACTTCAAGTTGTGTGATGCAAGTCAACCCACACTGGAGGAAGTTTAAGTGCAAAGCCTAAGTGTTTATCCTTTTATTTTTACAGTTCATCGATATTGTTTATTACTTACTACTCATGGGTATTGTTCAGAAGTGCTATTTATCATTGTCAATTACTCCTCACTGTGCACAATGCTCTGCCCCTAAACACATAACCTTCTCTTTTATGTTCTCTTTGCCTTTTAACCTATTCTCATATAAACCCTAATTGTTCAGCTAAACATCTATCCCCCCTAAGCCTCCTCATAATCCCAAGTTCCAGCTTTAATAGCTAGCCTTCCAAGCAGTCCTGCATATGTAGCCTTCCAAGCAGTCCTGCATATGTAATTCTTCATATATTTATGGGTTCTTCTAGTAGTTTCTGGTAGAAGTGAGCATTATTCGGTTCAAACCTAAAAAATCAACCAAAACTATTTTCAGTTTGGTTTCAGTTTTAATTTTTAGTAAATTTTGGTTAGGCTCGGTGAAACACCAATGACTGAACTGAAAGTTGTTCAAAAAAAAAAAAAAAGAAATTTTATTTTCATATATTGGTTTCAGTATTAATTTTTAGTAAATTTCTGGTCTAGGCTCGCAGGGTTGAAACACCAATGACTGAACTGAAAGCTCTGTTCAAAAAAAAAAAAAAAAAGACAATTTTTTAAAACCTTGTACTATTTTATTACTAAAAAAAAAAAAAAAAGAAATTTTAACTGTATATATTTATAAATTTTTGTCTAAATATATATTTAACATATATTTTTATCATATTATTTACATTCTTAAAATTTTGGTTGGTTTGGTTCAGTTCTTTATAAATTGCAGTTCTGTTAGTGTTGGAAATCAAGGCCTCGCCATTATATTAGAAGCTGTCTTAAAATGAAGTTTTAGGAATTAGTTGCTTGTAAGTTGCATTGAGATTTTATGATTATTGCTTTTTGTGGTTTCCATGAAGCTATGAAAATAAAACCTTACAAGGGATTAAGGTTAAATGGTTGAAAATCAAGGCCTGGCTGGCAGAAAAAATGGTTAGAGAATGAGCAAGTAGCAAATTGAATTAAATAACTCTAGAAAAGAAAACTAAAATAAGAAACAAATGAATTTTTTTCATTATTCATCAAGAGACTTTCTTGCTAATCTATGCACAATTTCATATTTTATTTTGAAACTAATGCAGAGGATAGGTTTTCTTATGTTGAATATACTTGTGCAGATTTGCTGTCTGGAATTAGAAAAGAAGCAGAAGCAGGGAGGTTGCCTTCAAATGTTGCAGCAGGGATGGAAGAATTGTATCAGAATTATAGAAATGCAGTAAATATATATACTTAAAACTCATCCTTTTAATGGATAATTCATGTATGTTCTAGTATGATTTCTGTACTTGCATGAAAATATTATATGTCGTATAAACAAAAGGCCAATAACATGTCTTTAACCATATTGTTTGACGGGGAGCAGATATAGCTCATTAGTGCATCAAGTGAGTTGGTTGTTAGTGGCCCATGTTGAGTCATAGAGTCAGTGGTCCATTTCGTTGCTGAGTCTAGGATTGCTTGTCATTTGAAATTATGTTGAAGGAGTTGCTTAGCAGCGGAAGTAGTTGTGAAGGGTTTTCACGTACTAATGTATATTCTTTAACTGTTGTTGGAGTATGTGGGTAATCCCACATCGGATAAATACAACTAACTAAAAGGGCATATGATGTGAAGGGTGAACCAACCAAAATGGCTTAGGCCATTTTGTGTTAAAGGTAAGCCCAACTCATTATAAGCCCAATATTAAACATATAATTGAATTTGAAACTACAAAAATCTAACTAAAAGGGCATTAGTGATTAAGGGTGTTTGAATCCAACAAAATGGCTTAGGCCATTTTGTGTTAAAGGTAAGCCCAACCCATTATTCGCCCAATTATTAAACATATAAATTGATAATTTGATTTTTGAGATCTAATATTGCTTCTAGGGCCTAAATTCCTCAACAGAGTATAACGTTGACATGGGAAGCGCAATAATTGAGAATCCCCAAATAGCATTGTTTTCTTGTTTTGTTTACAAACCCAAACACTGGAACTTTTTTCTTGCTCTTTTGATATATGCATCGGGCTTTTTGACCTTGTCCACCCTTTATTGACGATATACCAAATTTGAATGAAAATTTGTTTTCAGTTATTCAATTGCAATTTGTCTTCTTAAGTTGTTTATTTATAAATTCATCTTAACACACAATTGAGGGTTCTAATCATATCGAAGTCATAACTAGAACGAAACTTCTGTACTTAGTAGTGTCACTATCCCAGGTTAATTTAAATCCAAATTCTGTTTGTACATGTTTCAAATATAAGTATTAATACTGGAAATAAAGGTAAGCCCAACTCATTATAAGCCCAATATTAAACATATAATTGAATTTGATTTGATTAATTTGCTCCTAGGGCCTAGATTCTCAACAACTATATTGAATGGGAAGGCATAATTGAAATCCCAAATAGATTGTTTTGTTTGTTACAACCCAACACTGGAACTTTTTCTTGCTCTTTTGATATGCTCGGTCTTTTGACCTTGTCACCCTTTATTGACAGATATACAATTTTGAAAATTGTTTCAGTTATCAATTGCAATTTGTTTCTTAAAGTTGTTTTTTATAAATTCATTAAAACAATGGGCTAATCATATCGAAGTCATAATAGAACGAAATTCATGACTAGTTGTGGTAATTAAATCCAAATTCTTTGACAATGATGTTCAAAATATAAGTATTAATACTGGAAAATTATTAAACATATACTTGGAATTGTTGATGGTTGATTTTTGTTCCTTGTTCATATTCGGCTAAAAAATCTCCCACTGTCATGGACTTGTATATATTTAGATAATGAAATTTTAAGCACAAATCCATCTCAAATATCTTGTCTTGATAGAAAATAACAAGTTATCATTTGCGTCAACCTTTCTTGTTCAGTATTCGATTGGTTTAGTAAATGTAAGTCCTGGTGATTCATGGCCTTTACTCCATTAAAACATTGAAGTGTTTGATAGTTGCATGCATCAAATTTGCATGATTAAGTATCTATCCCTTTGAATTAGAAGAGGACCTCTGTGCTTCTTGTTGGAAATAGTTGTTTGATCTCCTTTTCTGTAGTGGATGTTATTGAAACATTGTCTTCAATTGAACATATTCATATTCACAACCATTCTTGGCCCCATAAATGTAAATCTATTGATTCATGGCCACAATTCTTTCATAAAATCCTTGTTTTTGAATAAATATGCATCAGATATGTATAATTTAAGTAGCTATTTACCTTGGGATTTAAAGGACCTAAAATGCTTCTTGTTGAAAATAGTCGTATAATCTTCTCTTCTGTGGCAGATGCTGTTATAAAATCCTCTTGGAGAGTTGTAATGACTCTTACTGATGTTATGGTTGCATCTTTGTGTGATTTCACTTGATATGATGCAGATCTAACTGTTTCTAGTCTTTTTTATGTTTTCAAAAATAAAAAAGGCCGCTGTGAGCTCAGCCTATATCTCATGGATGCTAATCATTTTTTGCTTTTCTGGATAAGTAGGGTGTGTACTATAGCACATTTAAAGTGCTACAATAAATTGGCTGTTACAGTTGCATCTGTATGTGATTTCTTTTGTTATGATGCAGATATAATCGTTTTGAGTTGATGCAGATATAATTGTTTTGAGTCTTTCTCTATTCTCAAGAACATAAAATAAAAAAAATAAAAAAAAAAAAGAGGAAGAAAGAAAGGGCCATGATAAGCTCATCCTTTTCCTCATAGATGTTAACCATTTTTCCCTTTTTGGATGAGCAGATTGCACAAAGGTACGTGTAAAGAGCTCCTAAAATGACACAAATATTTGAAATAAAAAAAATGATAAAAAAGAAAAAAAAAATTAAGGTTTTCAATCTTTGGTAAAAATGGATTCCAAAAATTGAGCTCAAACATTTTGCTTTAGTGGTTTTTTAGCTCAATCAAGCAAACTTCATTCCTTCAAGGCTGTAGCATTAAAATCAAGGACTGAATTACTTAACTTTTACTCAGTTTTCTTAGCCTTTGGCTGTATTCGGCAACAACTTTTTAAGTAGCTTTTAACGTTTTAACTCATGTAACGTTTAGCTTTTAGTGTTTTATGAAACACTATTCAAACAGCTAACACCTAGCAAAACAGCTAATTTTGCCGAATAGACCCTTTATCTCAACTAACTTTATTGGGCTACATAATCTCTTTTGCATTTCTACTCTATTCACTGCGAACAGCATCTGTTGAATCCTGGGCAGTTTTATTTTCGATCTGTTTTTTTTTTTCTTTCTTTTTTCCAAATCTTGTATGTATCTTCTTGTGTCTTTTATTTTTTTATTTTTTTATTTTTTTTGTCTAAAAGTTCTTTTGGTAGGATGCTATAATAGGAATTAATGCCACTCATGAAATCTTCCAAGTTAATTTGATTACTATATTTTGCATGTTATCCTTGGTAGTCAACTTTTCTCCTATTGATTGGAATTGAAATTAGAGATGGACTTGCATTTGTTTTTGGGAAGATGTTTGGAAGGGAGGTAGTTCTTTTGATATTTTCATATGCCTTCGTAAAATCTTTGCTGTCCACAATTACCTGCTTTTGATGTACATCTGTTCCTTGGAAATTTTCTTAGTTTGAGAAACTTGATAGGCGGATGTTGGATCTTTTGTCCTTACTTGAACTCTTTAATTCATCTTGGCCTTCTTGTAGTTTAGATAGGGAAATTTGCATTTTGGGACAGTTTCATGATATTTTTCCTGTAATTTCGTTGATACTTGTCTTTATTGTGTTATGAGTTCCAACTGTCATTCCTTTTCCTTTAACAATTTCAAAGTTGGAAGGTTAAGAATGCAGAATGCATCAATTTGTCTAAAGAAAGGGCATGAGCGGATTTAGCATCAAGCAATGGAGGCACTTGCCCTCATTGCTGGCCCACCACCCAAAACCATTAAGCCCCTGCTCAAATTGTTAATGACTTTATAAAATTAATGGGCTTGTAGTTAACTGCAGGAAGCTTGTAATCCTGATGTCTGGACTTTTTCCCTTAAAAACCAGGAAAATGTTATGATCTAAATTGTAAGTTTTTAATTTACTTAAGGATTATATTGAACCCACAAGTTAAAATTAGTAGATATTTTTATTTAAGAAATAACCTTATTTATTTACTTTGAGCTGGGTGAATTTTGTGGGTTTCATATGTGAACTACATGTGATTTACTCATTTTTCTTTATTGCATCTATCATAATTTCTGTAGCATTTTTTTTCCTGTTGTCATTTTTATTAAACATATGTATTTGCTTCTCCTAGTGATAAAAACTTCTGGGTCCTTCTGATTCTCCAACAAACTAATAAGAATGATTTGTTGAAAATATGAAAACCTAGCAAAGCTATCTCCTGCCACATGAATCACCTGCTTCGAGGTGAACTAGTCATTTTCACATCTGTTTTCTTCATTGCACTACTTCATGGTCAAATTAGACAAATAATTTGGCATTTGTGAGGGAAGGCAAGATTTAGAGGATTTATGGAGTGAATTTGTGGGCTTTTGGTAGGGGGAGCTGGGATTGTGCAATTTTTGCAGTGATTTTTAGAATATTTTGGTACAGAAAAGGTAGGATTTTTCAGAACCAGAATTTGCTTTGTGGTTGCTGTGAAATAAGATAATTATTTTTACCTTGTTATGAACTATGCTTTAGGGGTCCTTAAGAGTTTCTTTGGTCACACACTTGAGGAGATTGCAAGGTGTTATTCGTTAGTCTTATTTTCTTTTTGATGTACTGTTCTGGTTTCTTTGTGACGAGAATATCTTTTTGGCATTTGTGAGGGAAGGCAAGATTTAGAGGATTTATGGAGTGAATTTGTAGGCTTTTGGTAGGGGGAGATGGGATTGTGCAATTTTTGCAGTGATTTTTAGAATATTTTGGTACAGAAAAGGTAGGATTTTTCAGAACCAGAATTTGCTTTGTGGTTGCTGTGAAATAAGATAATTATTTTTGCCTTGTTATGAACTATGCTTTAGGGGTCCTTAAGAGTTTCTTTGGTCACACACTTGAGGAGATTGCAAGGTGTTATTCGTTAGTCTTATTTTCTTTTTGATGTACTGTTCTGGTTTCTTTGTGACGAGAATATCTTTTACATCCATTACGTGACGCGGAACCCAATGAAAATAAATTTCATGAACTCAATGACAAGTTTTGGAAGAGATCAAAGATCTAGAATAAATTCCCCTCTATGGTGGTACAGAAAAAGGTAAGGATTTTTTCAGAACCAGGAATTTGCTTTGTCGGTTCGCTGTGAAATAACGATAATTATTTTTGCCTTGTTTATTTGAACTATGCTTTAGGGGGTCTCTTAAGAGTTTTCTTCGGCTCAACACACTTGAGAGATTGCAACTGGAGGTGTTATTCGTCTAGGTCTTATTTTCTTTTTGACTGTACTGTTCTGCGTTTCTTTGGTGCGCCACTGGAGAATATCTATTTAACATCCATTACGTGCGCCGGAACCAATCGCATAAATACAATATTTCATCTGAATCATAAAGTACAAGTTTTTGGAAAGAGATCAAAGATCTAGAACTTATCTGTCCGCCATCTTATGGCACCCCAAAAAGCTTTAAAGAAGCAAGAACACCAATGAATAGAGTAAAATGGAATAAGCGATAAACGCCGACAAAGAATTGATACAGCTTTTACCATTGATTCTTGAGTGCAATTAGGCAAATGCTCTCAATCTCACCTACTCTTCTAAAAACGCGCTGATGAACCGCTAAAGCAATGAAAGAAAAGTAGCTTAATTTCACTTGAATAATCGTTTTACTAATTACAAAATAAAACGCCTTATTTTACTCATCTAAAGAGGTCCAGATCCTTAAAGGATTTAGAGTTAGCTAAGGGTAGGATTTAGCAAATTCCTAAAAACAACCTAAAGGATTAAGACTAATGAAAAATCATAACAACTTCAAGGATTTGAGAGATCTAATCCAAACTCCACTAAAGATTGACTAAATCTTAATCAAAATAGGCTAATTATTCAAGAGGTTGGAACGAGAAATTGGAGGCCGCAACCCCATTGCATTTTGCAAAAAACACAAAAAACTAAACTATGGTTAGTTATGAGAAGGCACGAGCAGCTTTGCAATCGGTTCCGCAGGGCGTTGTCAAGGCGCCACGGAGGCCAGTGATGCGCGCCGATGGATGGGCTATCCTTCGCGAAGAAGCAGTTAGAGTGCACGGGTCTAGGGCGTGCCAGGCGCGGCGACGGGCTTGCCGCGCAATGGATGAGCTTCCTGTCTGCGAGATCCGGCCAGTGAGGTGCACGGCCATGGGCGGTGCGTGTTTGGGCAACTGTGGCGCGTGCTCCAGATCAATGTTGTTGTTCCTGAGATGGCAGTAGCTTGGCAGGCCTGGGGCAGTGTCAGGCGTCACCCCTTTGCCACGGGCAGTGGCTACAACTCTACCCAACTCGAAACAGTGGCGTGCTTCTGATTAATGGTGGAGAAACTTAGTGTCTGTTTTCCTTTCAAGTTCTTCATGGCACCTTGGTTTGAAAGGCGAAGGTCATGGAGACTCATGTGTGATTGCCCATTGAATGTGTAAGGGACATGCGTCTATTGCTCCAGTCTTTTTGCCACGGATCCCGCTTTCTTGTGTTTTAATTGGGCTCCACTAGGAAGTGCTAATGGATGCCCATTTTGTTGGGTCCTACATTGTTCCCTTGAGCTTCCATACGGTGGGTTTGTTGCCTGGTATCGGCGGTGTTTAGGTGGATCCGTATCATGTAGTTGTGTCTCCCTTTTTTTTTTTTTTTTAATATATAATTGGTCCACTAGGAAGTGCTAATGGATTGCCATTGTTGTGGTCCTTGTTCCCTTGAGCTCCATAGGTGGTTGGTGGTGGTGGATCCGTATCATTACGTGTGTCTCCTTTTTTTTTTTTAATATATATTTTTTTGGAATGAGTTTTCCTTGCTGCCATAAATTGTGCATTGTCTCCATAGCTGTCAATATGAAAACCCTCCCATTCTAACATTTCTGGTACTACCAATCATTGTTGTTCAGCATAAAACTCACGCATAAAATTATAATGTACCAGATCCCTGATTTACTTCATGCTTCTTTGAAGATATCCTCCATAAAGGATACAGCTTTCTCGAACTTTATTTGAATACTGTTCTGCCATTTACAATTTTTTGGCATTTCCTTTTCTTCCATTAAGTCATTATATCCATTGGGTGTCTTTTCAGGTGATACAAAGTGGAACTCCCAATGCAGAAGAGATCATACTGTCAAATATGGCCGTTGCTTTGGATCGTATAAGCTTGGATGTTGAGGTATTTGGATTGCTAATACCTCATCAAGATGCTTCAATAGCTGAAATTATTTGCTTGCATGAACTTCTTATGTGAAATTGGCAGTAAATTTCAGGACCCTTTTGTCTTCTCACATTATCACAGAGCATTGAGAGAGCCGTTTGACTACTATAACTTCGGTCAAAATTATATTCGTCCTTTGGTTGATTTTAGGTGAGCCCAGCACTTTATGTTATTATGTTATCCCTTGTTCATCTAGTCTTAGTGGCTTGATATTATCTGGATACAGCTTTCTCAAACTTGATAGAGTATTGACTACTTTCACTTTATTTGAATATTGACTAATTTGTATCATGGTCTGCGCTGTTATTGTTTGAAAAATGTTAGGAAATAAAGGTAATCAGAATAATTCAATTGTATAATTTTGGGTTTTATTTGTAATTTCTTCATTCAAATTTGTGATTCAATTGAAATTTCACATTTTCTGAGCAATTGAGATGATTTGGCATTTGAATTGCTGAGTTGTCAAACATGCATGTAAAGGACTGATGTGACATCAGCTGTAATCAATTCATTGCTGAAATAATATTCTCCCTTTCCAAATTCTCTCTCTCCCTCTCTCTCTCACTTCTTCTTCTTCTTCTTCTTCTCTCTCTAATTTGATCTCACAGTCAGACCTTGCATGACTGTAAGGCCTACAAAAAATTGTCCTAGTACGAATGACATAATATAGGGAGTTTTCCCCAGTTTACATTTATGATTTTAACATTTTGGTCTATGTTCTGCATTTGGGATATTATGGTTCTATGTTGTTATTTTTTGAAAAATTATCTTAGGATCTAGACATAATATGGAAAGTTTTTCCTGGTGTACATTTCTGATTTTAGCATTGTCAAATCATAAATATTTGTTGTTTTCACCACCGTAATTTAAAGTTTTTCATATTCTATTTTATAGTGTCCTGCATTGTTGTTTTGTTTGCTTTGATATGGATGTACAATTGACCTTATATGCAATTAACATAAAAGGGTGCTTAATGAATCTGTTAGAGGCAGATACATATTCTTATTTATATATATATATATTTTTTTCTTTGTACTAACTCTGACCTTAATATATGCACATTTCTAAACATAAAGGCTTTGATTGCTTAATGGAATCTTATAGAGTGCAAAGAATAACAGTTTCTTAACTTCTTATTATATATATATATACTATTTTTTTTTCTGTTTGGTGGGGGGGGGGGGGGGGTGTTAAGTCGACTTAAGTACGTAAGTCTTCACAAACTACTAGAATAATTAATTGGGTGTTAAGTCGACTTAGCTAATTACAACTATAGAATAATTAATTACAAGATATTCTAACACCCCCCTCAAGTGATCAATGCCGTTTATGATATTCTGATTCTGCACTTGATCTAGCCACAACATCTTGCTTTTTACTTTTCCAGGATATTAGATTCCTCCAATCATAACACAATAGCCTGAAGTAGATCGGTTATCAAATGGAGGACCTGCCCAGTCTACATCACAGTAGCCAACTACTTGTGTATGACCTTTGTTTTCATATAATAAGCCTTGCCCATGGGTACCTTTTATATATGTCAGAATGCGAACAACAACATCCCAATTACTGTCACACGGGGACTGGAGAATTGGCTAATCACACTTACTGCAAAAAAAAAAAAAAAAAAAAAAAAAAAAAAAAATATAAAAATTTAGTCTGGTGATTATGAGATAATTAGCTTTACCAAATAAAAAAAAAAAAAAAAAAAAAAAAAAAAAAAAATTTAGTCGTGTGATTATGAGATAATTAAGCTTACCAACAAGCCTTTTGTATCTGCCAGGATTTTAAATGGCTCCCGTTGTCCTAGAACAAGTTTCACATTAGGATCCATAAGAGTATCCACAGGTGTGCAGTCTATCATGCCAGTCTCTTCTAGTATATCTAGTGCATATTTCCTTTGTTATGACAATGTCATCAACACATACCGCGAATCAAGTTCATTTATCATGATCTCCAAGTCGGTAAAAAACTGATTGATCAGCTTCACTTCGACTAATGCCATTTGTTGAACAACACTAAACCTTTCAAACCATGCACATGGAGATTGCTTCAAGTCATACAGAGATCGACATCGACATACCAAACCGGACTCTCCTTGAACAAGAAAACTAGGTGGTTGTTTCATATACACTTCTTTAGCCAACTCCTCCTGTAAGAACATTTTTAATGTCGAGTTGATGAAGAGGCCAATGGTAAATAGCTGTCGGAGAAAGAAGTCGGAAAAAGCAATCTTTGCCGCTGGTGAAAAAGTATCACTGTAGTCAAGACCTTAAATTTGTGTGTACCCCTTGGCTACAAGCCTAGCTTTAAAATGGTCAATTTTGCTATCAGGACCAACTTTGACGGCATAAACTCAATGACAATCAATGGTACTTTTGCCAGGAGGCAATGGAACAAGTTTCCAGGAGGTTTTATTGTGAAGAGTAGTTATCTCGTTAGTTATAGCTGAGGACCAGCTAGGATTGACAAGCTCTTCACTGACATTCTTAGATATAGAAACAACAAACAAGGTGGAAACAAAGGCGTAATAGGAAGGAGATAAACAATGATAAGTTAAGAAATTGTAAACAAGATGAGGATTTCGAGTGGAACGAATACCTTTTCGAAGATCAATGAGAGGAGCAGCTGCTTCTATATTGGCATGACCGGTGTAGGAGTTGAGTCACTAGGCTGTGTACTTGTATGGAAAAAAAGGTCAGTAGTAGGAGAACGAGAATAAACTTGAAGTGGTTGAGATATGGCTGGATTTGGAAGAATAGGAATCAGAAGGAGTACAAAAACTAAGTGCTAATGAGTTGGCTGGCTTGGAAAGGAAGGAGTTGTCTCGAAAAAGGTTACATCCGTAGAGACAAAAAATTTTGAAGACATGGAGTCAACATTTGTATACGTTTTTGCAGACGAGAATAACCTAAAAAAACATACTTAATTCACTTGGGCTGAAGTTTGTCTTTCCCAGGAGTATGGTCATGAAAAAAGCAAGTACAACCAAAGACACGGAGAGGAAGACAAACCATATCCTTTTTAGGAGAACATGATTACAAAGAAGTAAAATACGAGTTGTTTGGATGAGATGGCGGTTCTTTTGTTCGACGACATTTTGTTTTGGTGTATATGCACAAGAAGATTGATGAAGGATACCTTGAGAAGATATAAACTCGTTAAATGGTTGACAAAAATTTTCTCAACTATTATCACTGTGTAATGTTTAAATGGAAACACCAAACTGATTTCAAATCTCAGCACAAAATTTTTGAAAGATAGAGAATAATTTAGAATGATTTTTCATTGGAAACAATCAAGTACAATGGCAATAGTCATCAATAAAAATAAGAAAGTAATTAAATCCCTGTTGAGAGAATCTATTGTAATTGTATTTCTTGTATCTCATCAATCGATTACATAGATCTATAGATAAGGAATTCCTATGCTACCTAGCTAATTAGGAATATAAATCATAAACTAATTAGGAATCTAACTCCTAATAGAACTCTATTTACAACTAATCCTTAACACTCCCCCTCGAGTTGGAGCATAGATGATAGATGTTAATCATGCTCAACTTGTTACAAACTACTACTTTCAGCAAAGCACAATACCATACTCATCAACTGTACCCACTTCATTATGGCAATATAGAATACTACTACTTTCAGCAAGCACGAATACCATACTCATTTTCAACTGTACCCACGTCTATTATCGTGGCAATATAGGAAACCCAAACCAAATAGTAGTAGCCAGAATTTAAGACAACACACTTAGGTTGTGTCGAAACAAAAATCTCACTGGAACCAGATAAACAACTTATGAGGAAGCTGTTTCAAGCTTCCATAATACCATATGCCCGTAGAGGAAGCCCAGTAGTGCAGATATTCAGAAACGCAGCAAAGGAAAATCTGGCAAACGGATCATACCACTGAAGGACAAGAACACAATGCAAGTTCACTGGGTTCGCATCTGCTCTCGATATTGGACGAAGGGATTCAAAGCAGAGAATACCTGTAACTGCAGCGAAAGGTGCAAGTACTTAAACCCTAATGCAAAAAGGGAATCACTGAGCAAATCATCGTAAAATTTACCTAAACCAATTTGTCACAGCAAAGGAAAATATATGTTTCCTCAGCAAATTTAAAGCAAACATACAGTAGCAGAGGACTGGCCCTACACAGCTGCAACAGCAATCGCAGCTAAGTACGAACCTATTTGAATAAGCCCAAAAAAATTGACGATTTTGTAACTCACTGTTGTGATCGTTTGGGCGCTGGAGAATATCCTAGGGTGGCTGGTGAGGCAAATACTTTAACCTAGAAAGGCTTCAGACATTGACTGTTGCAGTGGCTTCTCATAAGGGAGTTTTAGGTTTTTTTTTCTTTTATTTTTTTATATTTTTTTGTGTAATGGAAGCTTCTGATACCATGTTTGAGAGATTATTAGTGAATGGAAGGCTCTGATACCATGTTGAGAGAATATATTGTAATTGTATTTCTTGTATCTCATCAATCGATTACATAGATCTATAGATAAGGAATTCTTATGGTATCAGAGCTAATTAGGAATATAAATCATAAACTAATTAGGAATCTAACTCCTAATAGAACTCTATTTACAACTAATCCTTAACAATCCCAAAGTTGTACTAACTCGACTAGGATCCTAAACATTAGAATGAACAATGTCAAACTTAGATGAGGCTTTATTATTGACATGTTTAGTAGAAGAAACACGAGCTTGTTTCCCGAGTTGACATGACTCATACTCTAAAACAGTTAATGAAGATAAACTAGGAACTACAGTATTGAAGTTCGGTAAGATTAGGATGTTCAAATCGGTTGTGAAGTTCAGTGGAAGCAATAGTAGCGAAAGCAACAGTAATTCTAGGAATGGAGAGGTAGTACAACCCTTGTGACTCATATCCTATTTCAATCATCTTCACCACACGTTGATCCTGCACAAAGACATAGTCAACTATGAAGGACACAATACGATTAAGTTGTTTGGTCAATTTACTAGTGGAAAGTAAATTATAAGGGCATTCAGGAATGAATAAGACTAAAGTCAAAGTCATTGAAGGAATGGGTTGAATTTCCTTAATGCCCTTGATCTCAGTTTGTGGACCATTAGCTAGGATGATGAGTCTGGAGAAGCGGTGGCAGTTGAGGGAAGTGTTTCATTACTAGAGATGGGATCAGAAGCACTAGAGTCAAGAACCCAAGGATCGTTGGTTGTGGATTTAGTCAAACAAGCAACTAAGTGTTAGATTGAGATATGGAGGATGACTACTGTATTGGTAATTGTTTGGTAGCCCAAAAGTGTACATATTCATCATAATCGGATATGTCAAAGTGATCGAGTTACTTGATGTACCAGGCAAAGGAATTTCAGCTCCATTACTTTGAACCATGTGAGCAACTGGTCATCTAGTACTAGTAGATTGATGTTTTGGTGGTTTACCATGCGATGTTCAACAGGTTCCCCAGGTATGAATAGGTTTGTCATAATGTGTACAATGTTTAGATTTGTTTCCTTTCCATTTTTGACTACCATTTTGTACAACAAACACTGATGCTTCAATATTAGGATATGATGTTGGAGTCACAGAAATGCAAAGAAGTCAGAGCAGAAATATCTTCCAGTGTGGGGATAGTAGAACCTGTTAGTATTTGATCTCGAACAAAACTAAGATCAGGTTGAAGACCTATAAGTGCCAAGACCATGAAGAATTTATTCGTCTGTTGTTCTTGTGTTGTAACATTCTCTGAGAAAGGCATAACATAATTAAATGCTCATGCAACGTTTCAACTTGTCCAAGATAACTAGCCATATCTTGTTGATTTTGCTGCAAATGGACAATATCAAAGACAACTTTGTATATTTGTTATATGTCATTTGTATACAACGTTTGGGCTTTAGTCTAGACCTTAGGTTTTGCAAGATTGAAATAAAGGAAGTAGTTTGGCATCAAGAGAGTTTCACAATAAACTACACAATTATGCATCAATCTTACACCGTGTTGTCCTATCTATGGCAAAATTCATTGGCATTTTTACTTAAATGATCATCATATCCTTGCCCCATAAACCATAGTCCTACTAAAGAAGCCCATTAAATATAGTTATTGTTGCCTAATAGTTTAATAGTGGTAGCAGGGGATACTAGAGAAAAGAAATTTAAATAGATTGGATGGGCTCAGTAGTTCGAGTCATTATGATACTGAATAAGGGCAAAGAAGGAAAAAGTTGTACCTTTTTAGAAGAAACAAGGGGGCTTTTTGTACCTTGGCAGAAGAAAGAGAAAGACCTAGTGAAAGGGGTGACTTGAAAAAGGACCATTGGACTTGGGCGAATCAGATGGTGGTGATCGTTGAAGGAGACGACACCAGAAAGTGAGCTCATGCGCCGGCGTGTGTACCGGCCATCAAAAACTTGTGGCGGCGTGTGGACGTCGCAGCAAGGGTTTCGGTGATGGAAATTGATGACTAAGGTTACTGCCATCAGCGATTCTTCTAGGATAGGCGGTGAGAACAAAAAATGGGCCATGGTTAGATCATTTGCGTTTTGGCAAAAAAGGGTTACATTTGATAAGGGAAAAGAAGATCAGAGAAGAAGAAATCGGGCCCTGTTTGGCTCTGATACCATGAAGAATTCAGAGAAGGTTTGAAGCTTTTGCTTGATTATTCCCTCAAACACATTAGATTTAAATAGAGTAAAAAAAAAAAAAATATATACAAATATGGCAAGTAAACTTAGCTAATTACAAACTGTAGTCGTAGCTGTAGTTATAGCTACAAAATATTCTAACAATAATTACAAGATAGTCCCAACCTCAATGGCTAGCTTTTGAGGTATGGTTCTCCCAAGATTATAAGAATTGGTATCAGAGCCAACACTGCTCCTCCTAGTTGCAATCGAACTACATGGGTGGTGACACGGGAATTGCAGTATTCGCCTAGGCTAGGAAAAAGAAACCCTAGCACACAACCACCCTAGCACAAAGTCAACCATCGTGGCAGTGGGACTGCGGAGCATGGCTGGATATTAGGATCCTAGTTGCAACTTAAGGGAAGGGACTTGTCTTGGTTCCCACATTGGAAGTATGGGATTTTAGTGTGGGGTTATATGAACTTGGCTCTTCAACCTCAACAGCTAGCCTTTGAGTTATGATTCACCCAAGGTCATAACAATGTGGTTTGAAGTGTCTCATAACCAAAAAACCTGTCTTTTTAAATCACCTATCCTTTTTTTAGGTTTAAATCTGTCAACTAAATTGATCTGAAAACTCGCAATATAAAAGAAATTGATTTAGTTATTTTATTTCGCTTTCCAATAAGTTAGATTGCGCTTTTGATTTTAGTCTTAGAAGCTTTAAGCAAATGAAATTTTTTAGCTTATTATTTCATCAGAACAAGAAAAAAAAAAAAAACAAGAAATTATGATTTTATTATAGAAAACAAAAATTTGAAATGATGACTTAGCTTATTTGGTTTTAAAATATCAAAAACCTGAACAAAAATACTAATAGCACAAATTTCTGAAATTTGTGCAATGCATCAGTTTGGTTCATTATGCTATTTTAGATGGCTAAATGCTCTCTTTTTGCTGGGCTGTATACTCTAATGATCAGTTAACTACTCTTTCAATCAACTTGCTTTGCTTACTTCCAATTGATATTGATTAGTTTTTTCAGGAAGTAAATGCCTCTCTTCTCTCTAACGTAGCCGGTTCATCTAATGATAAGACTGCATGAGTTTAAGTTTTGTGGCATTCACTGTGAAATGAGTAAACATTATATGGTTTCCAACTAAATTTGTTGCAATTAGAGAGCCTATATATGTGAAAACTGAAACTAATGTTATGCATCTCTTCTGTCATTATTGAACTGTTTTATGTAGTGAGAAGACTCCATATTTTGGGCTTTTCTGGTGTTTAACTGGTTACATGGGAACAAGTATAGGATGGTATCTTATTAGATTTGTGTGGTTAGAGAGCCTTATTTCCTGAAAATGTTGGTCTTGCTTATCATCTCTGCATGTCTCGTTTGCTTGAACGTCGACCATATGCTCACTTAGAGGATTTCAATAAAGTACAGAGATTTATGCTTTTCTCTGGTGGGTGTTACATTTTCATATTTCCAAATAACTAGCTCTGCTCTAGCTTTCTATAAACTTGTTGAAGATAATTGGGATGACCAAAACCATATCAGGTTCCATTATTAAATTTTTTGCAATTTTTCTTTTTTCTTAGTACTTAATTTTTTTCATTTCTAAGTATTAATAAACTAGTTTAATAGAAGCACTTTATATCCAATGTTGCCTCTTAAACTAAGGGACAATTATTTAAGTTATATTGTTCATTTATGTTTATATTGCCTAAATTTCACAGTTGAATTGAGATATTTTGTGCCACTCAGATATGTTCATCCTAATGCTATCCACACTTATAAATTGGCTGCAGAAATTCTTATGTTGGCAATATTTCCCTTTTCCATGAAGTGGAAGAGAAGCTTCAGCAGGTACCTACATTTATTATTGGGGTAGTTACCCTCTGGTTACTGCTAAGTATTTAATAATTTTGTGCAGTAATGTTTCTCAGTAATCTTGAGAAAATATTTTTAAACTGTTCTTTTGCTATGTTGATTAGTTGACAGTGGACCAATCATGTTTAGACAATGCATTCTTGTTCTGAAAAAAGTTCATAGGGAATTTGTTAAAGATAGGTATATTTTTTTTGTCATTAATCATTAAGTGAAAACATTGTCAACAAAAAAATTTGAATCTTCCAATATTCTCTTGGCATGGTTTTATTTTCTTTTTCTTCTTTCAATAACATTTTTGGGCATGGTTAGATATCAAATTTTTGGATGAAATAGTTATTTGTTTATTGTTGATTCCAGGGTCATAATATTGTCTTGATGTCAAATCACCAAACTGAAGCAGACCCGGCTATAATTGCATTGCTGCTTGAGAAAACAAAGCCCTATATTGCTGAGAATTTGGTTAACTGATCTTTTCAAACCTGACTCTTAAGTGGCAATTTGTGTGTTTGAAATGCTTGCATGGCCTAATTCCGCTCATAATAATGCAGATCTATATAGCAGGTGATAGAGTCATAACAGATCCTCTTTGCAAGCCATTCAGCATGGGAAGGTCCTTATGAAACTTTTACATTTCTTCAACTTTGATTCTTCTATCACATGCTTTTTAATTGATTATGTAAAAATTCTTAGATTTGCTTGTTTCCAGGAATCTTATATGCGTGTACTCAAAAAAACACATGAATGATGTTCCTGAGCTTACTGAGATGAAGAAAAGAGCAAACATACGGAGTTTGAAGGAGATGGCCATTCTATTAAGGTATTCTAGTTGCTTCGTGATCATCTGGCAAAAAAAAATATTGGATATAAGAAATATGTTGGCCTGTGTTCATGACTTTTCAATATTCGCTATTTCTACTATTCCCTGAAATAGATTTAATTCATTTGGGAATAGATTCTTTGGACAGTTCACAATTAGCCCTTTTGACTACATTTTCAACTATAATACTAATGTGTCTCACCAAACAGTATGATTTCGATAAAATGCAAGTCTTGGTTGAGTGAATTGTTGAGTTTGTTGGTCATGGAATTTTGGTTTTCTGAAACCACTGTCTTTCTATTGGTTTGTCATTCCTGTTTCAGTTAATTGTTTCACTATTTGGTGTATTTTATTTTTAAAAGTTTTTACATCTTGGATAACTCGTGCGTAGAAAATTTTTCTTTCCGCAGTAATCTTTAGAACTGGGAAAAGAAATTGAAAAAGATTTTAGAGGATGACTAATAAGTTCAAAGATTAGTTCCCTTTAATATGATTCAGATGTATTTTGTCCCATGTTTTCCCATATTTCATTCTATCATGTTTGTGCAATGTTTATATACATTATTTTCTTTCTGTGGTATTTAAAGACAATCAAAACCTTTTGTTGGTTCAAGTCAAGATGGTATGATTAACAGATAAATTGAAGGTGGGACCTTTTAGTAAATTGACTGGGAAATTGTGTACACAGGAGTCGTGTCAGTGTGATAAACCTTTATTCCAGGTTGAACAATTGTTTGCATCAATCAATGAGTCTTGTGTAATTTAAAGCAAATGCCTTTATCTTAAAAATTAATGAGAATTTAAAAATAATTTTATCACTCAGGATTCAGGACTGCATATGTAATACTCATGTAGGAATCACATTGATCAGGCTGAAGCTAATTCTGGTATATTTACTGATATATATCCCTGCAATTTAATGGGTCTATAAGAGTAGGTCTGAATATGTTCAAAAGGAATACTGAACTTAAGAAAAGGAAATAATTTAAAAAAAAAGAAAAGAAAGGTGGAAAATTTAGCAGTCACATCTGGGGTTCACAATATCTCAATTCTGTGATAAGCAATTGTATTTTTTGCATGGATCTTAAAGCTTGTTGCAAACGAATCTCATGTTGAAAAATTAACAAAGTGATGCAAGGACTTGTAAATGGATGAGTATTGGACCTAGCACAAGCCAATTGGTTTTATGCAAGATGGTTCCAACACTTGTCCACTTATTAAGCCCGGACTGTTTTGGGCCCATGAACTTGAATAAAGCTATGTGATGTTGCATTATGATTTTTGTTTTACACCATATAAATGTTCCAAAACTATAGGATAAATCCTCATCTTTTTGGGTCTGTTGTAAAAAATATTTAAAATTTTGGCTAAAAAAATATTGTTTAACTGAATGCTGAAAAGATAGCAATACTTGTTACTTTGCACGATTTTCACTTAGATTATATTTGTTTGTCAAGATTCTTCCATTTTGTTGATGTCCTTACACACACATGTGAGTGTTTTATGTCAGAAATCATCTTAATCTATTACTTCGAATACAGGGGTGGGTCACGAATAGTGTGGATTGCCCCAAGTGGTGGTAGGGACCGCCCAGATCATCTGACTGGAGAATGGTATCCAGTAAGTGCTTTTTTATTTTATTTTTTTAATTTTTCCTTATTTCCTTATTTAAAAAAAAATATTTTTACCTTCATTTTTTTTTTCATGTAAAAGAAATATTGGAAAGATAATGCTTTTTAGATTTTTATTTGATTCATTTCATCACATTGCACATTATTGTTTAAACGGTTTGAGATTACTGCTGTTTTTCCTCATAGCCATAGATTTTATAGTAATCTTGGAGCCTAATTCTCGTCTTATAGTGCACCATTTATTCTAATCTTGCATCTGAATATTATCAAACATGGGTTAATCTCTTGAAAAATTCTCAACATTTAATGGTTTACAATCATTCGTGTTTATCAGGAAATATCCAATTACGTCTACATCCTATATTTTAATTATCTACTGCAATCACAGCCAGTTCCTAAATTGATTTGATTATACGTGCGTGAAGTTAAGCATTCATGCAAATATATTCAGTGGCCAAATGTCAATGAGTTAATTGTTTTCTTGTAATTGTATTTTAGCGGCTTAGTTATGATTGCAACCAATAGCTGAGGTATATGCTATAGGTGACTATTTCGAAAGTGCTGACCAAACTGCAAAATTGGGAAAAGGTTCATGACTTCTTTCTTTGTGATTAAACTATAAGATAAAATTATCACTAGAAACCATATCCAGTGTTTTAGCTTTCAAGACATATGGATGTGAATTGTCAATATATTGGTTAGCATGAGTAGAATACTGGTCATTTTGTTGGGAACTATGATTTGTGGTGCATAAAAACCTTTTCTTGCTTATCATTCAGCATTCTGGTTCTGGAGTATGCTCAATTGCAGTATGAGTGAAGAATCATCTTGGTCCATACTTTCTTTTCTTTCATTGTGTTTGTGCCTCATCATATTTTTGCTAACCTACTTTTTTCTAGACCTAAAATGAATGAATATATTCTATCATTTCCTTCAGAATTGATCTTTCCTTTTGGTGACATGAAAATAAAATAAAATAAACTTTTCTGGAAAAATTCAAATTAAATTATCCTTGCTTAAAGGGTGCTAATATGCATCAAAACCTACTTTATGCATGCTTCTGAGGAATCACTCTCCTGCTAAGTGCAAAGCAGTTATAGATTCTAGCTTCTTGAAAAGAGTGTACAATTAATCTAGGACAGAACTGTTAAAGAATTCTTGCAACTTATGATTAGATATTAACCACAGCATGGTTGGGAATGTTTTATCTTCCTTGCTTATTGTGGCAAAAGAAAAAAAAAAAAGGGAATACTTAAGCACTGGTTCATCAATAAGCAACATATTTGTTTCTGTGATGCCTTCACACTCATTAATGCTGATATAAGTGGGGCAGGCACCATTTGATGCTTCTTCAGTGGATAACATGAGAAGGCTTGCTGAACATTCTGGTGCTCCTGGGCATATTTATCCATTGGCATTATTATGCCATGACATAATGCCCCCTCCCCTTCAGGTATATCCTCATTTCATTTGATGTCTTTTTGTGATAGTATGTCTCAATGCATTGGAATTATTTAGGTGCAAAAGGAAATTGGAGAGAAACGAGTGATCTCCTTTCATGGGGTTGGATTATCAATTGCACCGGGAATCAGCTTCTCTGAAATTGCTGGTAGTTGTGAAAATCCTGAAGAGGTTGGTCAAAATCATTACACTGGTCATGCATCTTTAACTGATTTGTAGTCATAATATAATTGAAAGCAAGCGCACAACTGGAAAAATTGGAAGCCTTACATTTCTTAATGTTTGGCCTAACATGAAAAATTAAAAGCCGAACCATAAATGGTTATGCTTACCATTTCTTAATGTAACAGTGGATCAATGTTCAAAGTGACCCTTATTTAATTGGGTCCAACTAAGCTCAATTTTTAATTTTAAGGCCAAATTTATTCTATCTTAGGGCCATTTAAGCCCAGATCTATTTAAAATCAATAAAAATTATTACACGAAGTCTTAATTTCAAACTAGCTGAGGTTAGCTATGTGAATCCTTTATTTCCATTCCGCTTTGTTTACAACTAAGGCTGCACTAATGTCAGGAAGTAATTGATCTTTTGGAACATTTTCCCTGCATGTGGTTCTAGGTCTACCTCCTTTTTAGTTACCTCCACCATCAATGTGTCGCACTTATGAACCAGAGCACATTGGGATCTATGAAGGACATGAATAATGCATTTCGGACATCCTTCTTTCATTTTATGTCTAACTTGTGCATCTTTTTTCCACTATGGTCGTTTCTAATCTTGCCCGATTTTATGTGACCACCCATCCATCTTAACATTCTCATTTATACGATATTCATCTTTTGGATATGTTGGATATTCAGGGCTTAACATTCACTCCCTTGTAAGATCGCAGGTCTCATCAGCGTTTTGTGCAAATTGTCTTTCAAATTGTTATATATCTTCTTATCACGTAGTGCATCTGTATGTGTGTTCTTCACACATCAACTTGTTGAATTAACTCTCTGAAAATACTGACTTGCTTTTTCTGGTTCTTCATGTTCAGCTTCCGGTTGATGCAAATCTAGGAGTTAGGTTTTCTTTTTAACCCTTTAATATGGCAGTTTTAACCTCTCTAATGCCTTATCTAGCTTATCAATTTGTGCACCAAGGCTCATTGTCTTCTTGTCTTTGTGATCCTGCCTTTAGTTTCTGCTCTCTAGGTCTTTGCAGTTGCTGTTTTAGCTTTTCCAACTGCTGCATAGAACTTGCCTGCATTTTGTTCTGAATTTTCTGTGCATAATTCTGTTTCTTTTTTTGCTTGCTGCAATGCATTTTCTGGCTGCTGCCTGTGCAAATTCTCTGTGTTTGTAGATCTTCATACTGATTAGATTTCCTTGCTGCTTCTTGTAGTGGTTTAGGAATATCTGGCAGTAATTTAGACTGATCTAGATGGGGCAGGGATTGAAAATGTAAAACCTGCCCCAACCTATGTATTTGTCATTCCTACTAGTGTTAACAATAATTTAAATGTACCTATGTACTGTTGAAGTAAGAGTATTCTAGTATAGTTTGCATGAACATAACTTATCTGCATCTATTTGTTGAAATCATTGTGATTAAAGAAAATAATGTGTTTCCTAGTTTAGGTTTATTCCTAATTAGTGTAAAGATTATGTTTCCTAGTTTAGCTTTATTCCTATTTAGATTACTTCCTATATTGGAACAATTTTTTGTATATATATAGAGTGGAGTAGAGGTTGAAAAATATAACACAATTGAAAGGAATAAAATATATTCTTTCCTTTAATTTCTACATAGTATCAGAGCCATTGTCGTGTATTTTTCGGCAGCGGTTTCAGTTTGCAAAGTAGTCTGAGATACACATTGCACCACCGGAAGTGGGAGTTGGTCGTCACCGCTCGTCTCAGAAGGAAGAACGAACGCTGATCGGCACTCCGTCCAAACCGCGTCGCTGTCCGACCATGCGCATGTGCACACGTGCCTCCTGAAGATTTTGACTGTTCTTCACGCGCCGGCGCGTGTGGCTGTTTCCGGCGAGCTCCGTTGACAATTCTTGTTTCGGCGACCTCGACTCGGTGTGGCGACTAAGAAGAACTATTGGTTCTTCAACACCAGTTTTGCCTTTTTTGGAATTTTTTCCCTTTCCACCACTGGTGCTGCCTTTTACTGCTATTGCCTTTTACAGCTGCTGCCTTTTTTTTTTTTTTTTTTTCGCGCTCGGCGTGTGGCTGTTTCCGGCGAGCTCCGTTTGACAATTCTTTGTTTCGGCGACCTCGACTCGTGTGGCGACTAAGAAGAACTATTGGTTCTTCAACACAGTTTGCTTTTTTGGAAATTTTTTTTCCCTTTCCACCCTTGTGTGCTTTTAATGCTATTGCTTTTACAGCTGCTTTTTTTTTTTTTTTTTTTTTTACCACTGCTGCCGTTTATTTATTTATTTTTTTAAGATATGGTTGACGGAAAGAAGGTTGATATGGTTTTTCACTCAGAGAGCCCCTCACTTCAGATTAGTCCGGTGAAGTTAGATGAAACAAACTACCTGGCTTTGTCTCGGTCTTGTTTATTATTCATTGAAACTACAGGTTTGCAGGGATACCTTGATGGTGGAGCAACTAAACCAGTTTCGACAGATGCGGCCTTTAACAAGTGGAAATCCGAGAATTCTCTTATTATGTCTTTGTTAATAAATTCCATTGAGCCAATTATTTTCTGAGGATATTTGCTTCTTGATACAGCTAATACAGCTAAGAGATTTGGGATGCTGCTTCACAAATTGGACTATGCTCAGAGGTATGATTGCGACGAAAGTTCATGAAAACCAAGCAGGGAAGATCTGACTATCGGTGCCAGTTTTCTGGTGAACTTAGTGGGTTTATGGGCGGAACTGGATTATTATCAAGACTTTTCAAGCAAGCTTACTGATGATGCGACTCAAAGTTCAAAAGTTGAATAGAAGTAGAGACGTGTGTATGATTTTCCTGGCTGGCCTAAATATAACGAGTATGATAGATTCGAGTCCAGTCCAAGTTCTTGGACGAGATCCTTTTCCATCTTTACGACAAGCATACTCATTTGTACGGCAAGAGGAGACTAGGAGGAACGCTATGGTTCACAGATCTACCATTGACAAAGCAGGGTTGATTTCTAATTCTGCAAGCGAACATATCTAGGCTGCAAAGAGCAATTCTTTAGATAGAGATCAATTATTTTGTGAATATTGCGGTAAGAACAGGCACACTAAGGAGTTCTGCTGGAAATTACATGGACGCCCAACTAAAGTGCGTGGAGGAAAGCGGGTCAGTTCTTCTAGACTACAGGCACACATATCTGATAGTGGAGCTTTATCTGAGGAACCATCTACTGGTGGAAGCTTTTCTAATAAGGAGATTCAGTCTAATAAGGAGATTCAGTCCCTGAAAACAATGTTTGCACCAGCTGTTCGTCCTCATCAGACTGAGCCTCTTATTTTTGTTAATTCAGCGGTAATGCTTTTCCCTTAACCTTTCTTGCAATACGATTGCAAAACCTCTTTGGGTTATAGATTCATGAGCAAATAAACATACAAAGGCTCTATAAACATTTCTGTCACATATTTTAAGATCAAGGGCACAGAAAAATTCGCCTTGCGGATAGGCTTCTTAGTATTAGTACCAATTGCTGGCACGGGTTCTATTGACTGTACTTCCAATATTAAACTCTCCCCTGTTCTTCATGTTCCTAGATTTCCTATTAATCTGTTATTTGTTAGCTTAATCACAGAAGCACTTAATTGCAAAGTAACTTTTTACCCTATTCATTGTATATTTTAGGAATTGAATACGGGGAGAACGATTGGCAATGGTAGCTTGCGCGATGGACTGTATCTGTTGGATGATGTTTGTCGTTTTTCACATTCGGGTACCAGTCAAACTTTGTTAGGAACTTCTAGAAATCCTTCCCATGAAGTTTTTCAATGGCATAGGAGATTAGGACATCCCTCTTTTTCTGTTTTAGGACGTTTGTTTCCCACTTTGTTTGCTAAATGCGATTTTAATTCATTAGTATGTGATGCTTGTGAACTTGCCAAACACACCAGCCATTCTTATTCTCCAATTAATAATAAGAATTTGATTCCTTTTTCATTCTGATGTATTGGGGTCCTACAAAAAACTGTCTCTCTTTCTGGTTATAGATGGTTGTGACCTTTTATTAGATTGTTGCACTAGATTGACTGGGTTTATTTGATGAAAACAAAAATTGAAGTTTTTTTCGTAGTTTTAGAACTTTCCATAAACATGATTTAACTCAGTTTGATGGCGCATTTAAAATCCTAAAAGAACTGATAATGGATACTGAATACATGGAATGCAGTTTTTGTAACTTATTTAGATCTAATGGTATTTTCACATCAGACTAATTGTGTCAATTAGATTCTAATGGTATTATACATCAGACTAATTGTGTCAATACTAGTGCTCAAAATGGCATAGCGGAAAGGAAAAATAGGCATTTACTGGAAGTAGCTAGGTCCCTTATGTTCACTATAAATCTTCCCAAACCATATTGGGGATGCTATTTTGACTGATGTTTACCTTATCAATCGTATGCCTCTTCGTACTTTAAATTTTAAAACTCCATTATAGGTTCTTCAAGGAAAAAACTCTTATATTGTACCTCCTAAAGTCTTTGGTTGTGTTTGCTTTGTTCATCAGAATGGTATAAGCAAATTAGATCCTAGAGCCTTGAAGTGTGTGTTTGTTGGTTACTCTACCACTCAAAAAGGATACAAGTGTTATCATCCTTCTAGGAAATACTGTGAGTATGGATGTTACCTTTCGGGAGTTTGAATCTTATTTTCCTTTCCAGTCACCTCTTCTGGGGGAGAAATATCAGATGGGAGAGGTGATGGATGACATTTCTTCCAAGGGGGAGATTCCTGTAGACATAAATAGTAAGAGAGAGCAACCACCCAAATCTCTAGGAAGATTGGATAGACCTGATTTTGAAAACCTACACACGGCGGACTAATACAGATACAACCATGGAGCATGAGACCTCTAATTAACCGTACTCTCCAATTTCAATCCCTGAAGATACAGAAGAACAAGAACTTGGCGAGTCTTCTTTAATTCCTATTGATTCTAATCCTAATCTTGATTTCAGTCCTTCTGACAATGATCTTGATATTTCT